ATTTACGTGTGGTGTCCAGAGGACCAGACTTCTACAGACAGAGCAGAAGGGGGCTAGCGGCTGGGCAGGGAACAGGAGCCACATCCAGGGGGATCAACTCCGCACGGAAAGGGAAAGGACCCTGCAGATGGGTGGTAGTGATGGTTGCACAATGGAATGGACTAATGTCCACTGGAAAAAACTTAAGATGGCAAATTTATGTGTATTCTACCATGATAAAACACATGGGCTCAAAACAGAGCAACCAACTCCAGACGGCCCCTCTCCTGGCCAGACCCAGGCCGGCCTCCACCTGCTCCAAAAACCTCCGAGCCTGGGTCCCTGAGACAAGAGACTGGTGAGGGGAGCAGCGCAACAAGGTGTCTGTGCCCACGTCTCCTCTTCCTGGGCTGGGCAGGCGAAGGCCCAGCCGCTGCTGCAGGGACGGAGCATTCCTCCCCCTGTGCCGGACAGCAGGGGCAACGGTGGCCACTGCAGACCAGGCAAGCAGTCTGGGAGGACAAACAGAGCGAGATCCAGCCCCACCTCCAGCTGCCACAGGGCAAGAATAGTCCATTCTCTCCAATGGGGTGCAGGCGAAGTTACTGATGAGCCAGGGGTGCAGGCAGGTCAGCCAGCCCGCTAACTGGCCATGGTCAACCTAGCTGTTTAGTGTCCAGTGTCCATTTTCCCAGTTAGCCTCAGGGAGCCGCTGTAAGACCTCATCCTCCCCTCCTCTAGGCACCGCTGTGAAAAGAGCCCTTTATCCACGGTGACCTCAGGTGATCCCCCCACACCCCTGGGACCAGTGTCCCCTCAGAGGACAAAGAAGCAGGTTGGGGCCTCGGGGCAGAAGGGGAGCCTGGTGGCACTGTGACAAGCGGTTCTTGGTCTTCGAGGGTGAGGGGTCCTGCAGGGTTTGAGGTAGAACAGAAGATGTCACAATCACACAGCAGCAGTCACCTGGGACCCTGTGGCCCATCTTCCGCCCCAGGGGGCTGCAGGGTCAGCCAGATCCAATCAACTGACAGGGTCAGCCCGGCACTGCCAGGTGAGATAGGTGTCAGCCTTCCACATCTGCAGACCAGGAAAGAGATGTCACACCATCCTTGGGGCAGCTGGACAGGAGCACCCAGCCCTTTGTGGTCCTGCTATCCTCCACTGGCATCAAGGGCATTTGGGCCAGCACACACGATAGCTGCTAATATGCTGCTACAGCCTGCGCCTGGCACCTGGCATCAGCAAGCAGGCCCCTGTGGAGCAGCGGTGTGCTGTGTCCAGGTGTGTCTCATGTGTGCATGCTTGCTCCTCACACACTCAAGCTCACATCTGTCCGGAACACACCCTGTGTGAGCTGATCCCCTGCATCCGGCACCTAGCTCCTGCTCACCAGCCACCACAGCTAAGGGGCTTCCTCCACCTCTGAGACCTCCCAAGCAGGACAGAAGCTGAGCAGCCTCTGCCGGGCTCCACTGCTGGGAGGAGAAGCACTGTGTATGGCCCGACATGGAACACTGATGGTGTGGATAGCTGTGCTGGCCACAGCCCCATCACTGTGGCTCAAAAAGGAGCTTCCAGACACTCTTCCTCATGCTGTGGGGCCAGGGGCCAGGCCTGTCAGTGTGCGTGAGCACACACGCAGAGCACAAGTTCATATACATGGGTGGACATTCTTACACGTGCACCCCTCACACAGCTTGCACATGCATGCATGTGTGCACACCGCACAGACACGTGCGTGTGTACAGAGCCATGCGTGCACACATGTGCACCCAGAGCTTTGGCCCTGCAGCCTTGAGCTGTGTCCCGTCTGCTTCCCCTTCACTCCCCAGGTCCCCCAAGGGCAGCATGGTGGAGGTCATCATCCCAACTGCAGCCCCAGGGAGGCGCACCGTTAACTGTTTTTCAGGCCTGTGTCTCAGCTGGGCTTACAGATTTTAATAATGCTTTGCTCGCTTGTACCACAGTGAGAATGCTCCAGCCTGCTGATGCCCTTCTAGAGATGTGCTCAAAATGAATAACCGATAGGCTTTGCCGCCATACTCCCTCTTCTTGCATAGCTTTTTGCTCCTCTAGATAAATTCCTTGAACCGGAAATATTGCTACAAGAATGTTTTCTCTTGCTTGTAGCGATGATGCCAGCTTAACCACAAGGCAGGGGAAGAAACTTCAAAAAATAAATGACCCCGGGCTGAGCCCAAGGTGTCTCGGCATAGGCCAGAACAAAGGGTGCCGTGGCTCCTGACCCTCTGATCCCTGGACACCTGCAGGGGCTGAGTCCTGGCTCAGAAGCAGGAGAAGCTGGTGCCACTTCCAGCAGAGATTTAGAAAAGTGCCTGACCCCCGCTGTGTGGTGCGTGTGTGAGCAGACAAGTGAGTCAATGTGCGAATGAACCCCTGGCTCCGCGCTGGAGCGAGTGGTGAACGACCGCACAGGCGAAGGTGCGTGTCAGTGCATGAGTGAATGAATGAGTGTGTGAGAGAGAATCGGGGAGTCCGGCAGGGTCTAAGCCCACCCGGGGCCCCTCAGCGTCCTGGGGCCATGAGCGGGCCAGAGACCTCAGCCGTAGAGGCTATCAGCCGGGTAACCATTGCTCAACCCCTCAGCTCAACATTCAAAACACCCTAGGACAGGGCCAGCGCTGTCACCATGGTGACACCCCCTTCCCATCCATGCGGACACAGCAGCTTATCACTGTCACCCTCATGCCGCTCTCCCCACAGGCCTTTGGGGACATGAAGACCGGAAAATGTAGGTTCTACTCCCTACCATGGCCAGCCCGCTGCTGCCCTCTGCTGGCTGACCAGGCCCAGACACAGAGGGGCGGGGACCACAGGGGGAACTGGGACCGTGTCAGCTCTTGCCTGCTTTCCTGCTGGTTGCCATGGCGACAAGCTGCCGTAAGGGCCCTCTGGAAGGCGGGAACACCAGCGTCCTCCTTCTGCTCCAGCAAAATTCCTCAAGCCCTGCCTCCTCGGCACAACCCATGTGACCCTGGGCTCCCCCGCCCCGTGAGGGGTAAAGGGCCGGAGAGGGGGCTGGGCCACCTGCTGCCCCGGTGCCGTGGACACGGGCAGCACAGCTCGGCCCTCAGGTGGGGCTAGAACCGCCGTCCACTTGCTTCTGAGCTTGCAGCTGGCACCCTGAAGGCCAGGGAAGCCCCAGTCTCAGGGAACCCCAGCAGGAGGCTCACGGGGCTCCCCTCAGGCCAGGGGCCTCCAGACACTTCTTCGAACACAGGTCACTGCTGTTTCTCCAGTTATTACTTTGTGTAAACAAACCCAAGAGTTGCTGATTCTAACTAAAGTGACCTGTCTGTAAATTAATGTGTCACATTCTCTCCTGAAATGAGAGAATTATCTGTCTCTGGAGGACTCATGTTAAAGACTGACATAGGGTGTAACTGTGTCATTTGCATATGCAGATACATCTAATTATTCAACACCCAATTAAAGGCTTGTGTGTCAGCAAATGAGACTAATTAGATACATTTATCTATGATAATCAGCTTCTTTTTAAATAAACAAAACAGATCCCCCTTCATTTCCTGAGAAATTATGCTGGATGGACAGGGGTTGAGGGAAGACGCTGCCTTGTCTCAGGCCAGCCGGGGAGAGGACAGAGCCAGTACCTGGTGTGTGCGGGGTCACTTCAGGCGTCCTGTGTCCGGTCTGGTCTCACAGGTCACACCCCAGAGGGGCGCAGAGCTGCCCTTGGTGCCAGCCACGGCACAGGGTGCCCGTAAAACTAGAAACCAGAGCTCCAGTGCAGAGTGGTGGGCCCCAGGGGGCTGGATCCAGGGATGCCCAGGGATGGGCTCCGCCCCCAGAACAAGGGGCAGGGCAGGGCAGACACAGCGGGCACCTGGAGTCTCATGCTGGGTGGTACTACACACACTGGGTCTGACCACAAAGGTCTTCCTGGACATAAGGGGGTGGGGCCTTTGCAGGGGCCCACAAAAACAGACAGCCTGCAATTGGGGTGGTGAACCCCAGGCTCTGCTTCCACCAGCACTGTGGGAAGGAGCGGTGTTACAGGAAAGGGCTGGTGCCTGGCCCTTGGCCAGCACAACCCCGCCCACCCCAACCCACCGCTCTGTGGGCTCTGGGTGCTCTGGGCTCTGCTCCTTGGCCTGGAATGCCTTCCCCACCCCCTCGCTCCCAGAGACCCCCCGGGACTGGGAGCCCCTGCCCCACCCACACACTGCTGCCCATTCCAGCTGGGGCCACTGGCCAGCTGTCATCATCTTTGGTCTTTTAGACAGGAGCCAGCGCAGCCCCGGCCCCAGCACAGTGCTCTGGGTGCTCCTGGCTGGGATCACTGCTGAGGGCTCACTAGCAAGTGGGGCACCTTGCGGCCTGGCCATGGTGGCCTCAATGTCCCCTGGGCAATGGGATATGGGCCTTCTTCCCGTGGGGCATCTGTCGGGCTCCTATGTGGCCCACCTCCCCCGCATAACCACCGGCCTGTGCAGCCCAGTCTCTGGGGGCTGTGCTGACACTCAACAGACACTTGAATATTTAAGATGCCCACTGAAGCCCGGGCCACCTGCATTATCCCTGGATACGGCCGGCAAGGGTTCCCCAGCTGCAGGACAGCGGCTCCCCAGGGCCTTCCCGAAATGTAACTTTTCCTGCATGCCAGGCAGTGCTGGATACCATGCTTGGGGATGCAGAGGGCAGGGTGGGCAGGCGAGGAGGGATGAGGAGGGTCCAGACCGAGGCCAAGGGGGGATCCTGGCCCAGGAAGTGGGGATGCCGTGGGCACCGCCCGGCAGCCCTGGACGGCCTGGGGACCCCCCCCCCAGTACAGCAGCCGGTGTCCGTCTGAGGTGGAGGCGAAAGCCTCGCCCCTCCTCCTCCCGGACTCTGCTGCAGAACACACTTCGTCATGGCTCCTCCGAGGTCTCACGCCCCTCGGGCTTTCCCTGGAACTGGAGATGCAGTGTGCCAGGACGCCCCAAAGACCCAGAGGGCTATCCCTCCTTCCCCAGCAAGACGCCTCAGTCAGCTGTTCTGGAGCACTTAAATCCTTTACTTGGAAAAGGTACGTTCAAGTGAATAAAGACAGAGAACTGGACCCAAGATAAACCAGGCAGGCTTGATCAGGGGACTCAGCCTTGTTTGATTTGCAAACGTGCGTGGAACCTGGGTCATTTCTGGTAAAAACTCACATTAGATTCAAAACCTAACCTCAGCCGGGGCCAGGCAGCCCCACGGGCTGGTGCATCTAACAGGAAAGCCAAAAAAGGCAGTTTGGGCCTGGCCAATCACAGGGCTGGCTCTGCTTCCGCCCTCCCATAACCCCTGCTCCGGAGCTGCGAACAGGAACGACGCCTCTTTCAGTCTGAGGCTCCCAAATCCATGAGTTCCTTCCGTCACGTAGACTCTGAAATGTTACCAAGCTTCAGATTTTTCCCTTGCAGACATATCAGAGTCTCCTCCCACGTGCAAGTCTGAAGCAGCATGAAGCTGAGGAATCCGTGAGGACCATGCGATCCAGGTCGGCGTGGCCTCCAGGACCATCCTGCGAGGACCCTCTGGAGAAGAGGGTTTGTTTCTCTTTCCTCCGGGGAGAAGCCCAGGAGGGGAGGGCAGAGCAAGAGGGGAGCAGGGCGGGGGAAGTGAGTGCAGGTGGGCACACAGGCAGTGTCTCAGCGTGCTGGACCCACAGCTCACACAAGCCCACCGGAGCAGCGGGCACTACCTCAGCTTTTGGCAAAATGCTCAGGCTCAAAGCCTGCGTAGCCTGCTTTTCACTAGACTCTGCCTCTGCTGCTCCCTCCAGAGCTGATGGAAATCTAATTAGCCAGGCGGCCTGGCACCAAATGCCCTGATTTACCCAACACTCGAGAGACCTGAGCGTCTCTTCGCTGCTGCGCTCCCGTCGTCTGCTGCCTCTGTGCCCTCTCCTGTTCCAGGCCGACCTGCCGCAGCGTGGAAGGTGGCGCCTGAATTGTTTTTCAGAAACTGAGTATTAGCTGGGCCCTGTCATGAAAGCACTTACACTGCCAGCACTTTAGAGCAGAGCAGGACCTGGCAGCAGACCGGGTGCTCGAGGTGCCTGGAGTAGAGCCAGCCGTCCTCGGCAGGGACCCTGGGGTGCTCCCACTGCTCTGCCCCACAGAGCCAGGGGGGCAGTCAGAGCGCACGTCTGGACCACCTTGAAGTCCAACTCTGACGGGCCAGGGGCTCTGGGCAGGGCTCCCGGCCTCCCAGACCTGCTCCTTTCCCTTCCGTGTGTCCCAGGAGCCTGGCTCTGGGACATTCAGGCTCCCAGCTCTGGGCTCCAGTGGGTTTGGCAAATGGGGTCACGGGGGTTCAATCTGGCCCTTCCCATGATGTTCCCACCCACCCTACCGTGTGGGGGCTGTACCCCCCCTGCCTCTTGGTTGCCCCCCCATGCTCAACCCCCCTGTGGTCACTGAGGGCCTGCTTCCTGGCAGCACCCTGCTTATCCACTCACTCACGGATACTGGCTGCCACAAGCCAGTGTTGAACCCTGTTGGTCAGGGTCTGAGACACTGGAAAGGGCAGAGGGTGAGAAGGAGGGGTGCTTGTGAGAGATGGGCTCCTGCCTGGCGTCAGGGTTGGCCTGGGGGGGGTGAGCTGGGGCGGAACACCCTCTCTGGGAAAGTGGCGCAGGAAGAACCTATAGGCCCAGGCTGTGGTTGTGGAGCAGCAGTGCAAAGCTGAGGGCAGGGCAGAGGTTAGGAGAGATGGACAGACAGACAGGCAGACACAGATGCTCCCTTCCCACCCACTAGGCCCCCAGCAGGCTTGCTGCAGCAGAAGGATGCCAGCCAATGCCATTTTGACAGGATTTCTTGGACAACTGTATCCTGGGCAGGTGGGACAGCGGTCCTGGGAGACCAACCTCAAGTGCAGCCGTGCTCGAGGTAGGAAGTCCTGGGGCAGAGGAGGCCAGCAAGCAGGTGGGCAGCTGGTTAACCTGGTGTCTCGGGATGTGCAGCTGAGCCCATTGCGTGTAGGGACAAGGAGGGTCGACCTCTCCCCGGGTGGCTCTGAGGTTCCAGGATCCCTCTCCTGAGGTGGGTCAGGCTATTTCAGTAACTCATCTCAATTGCTTTTCCTCCTATTTATATCTGGCCTCGTTATTTGAAGCTATACATAAGGGTTGGCTGGTACCCACCATCCTGTGGGAGGCCCCTGACAGCAGAGCCTCCATAGAAAGTCTGCAATGCGTGATGAGCCCCTACTACATGCAGACACTGTGTGTAGGACTTGGGAACACTTCACCTGTCTTCGCTCTGTCCTCGTGACTCCAAGAGGTAAACCTCTCCCTCATAATGAACCCCTGGGCCGGCTCTACTGAGTCGACCTAGCAAAGAGGGCATGTTGAACAGCACCTGAGCACCATAGTGAGCACAAAGGCGGAAAAGATGCTCGGCTCCAGCTGCCCAGGAGCTTGCACAAGACGCCCGAGAGAGAAGAGCACGCACTACCGGCACCCTTCTCGTGGCCCTCAGCTCCACTGCTGACTGGCAATGGTGGGCCTTTGTACAGTGCAGGCTTTCTGCCCTCTTCTTCTGTTCAGACACCCTCATCTTCCTCAAGCGCATGCATACACACACACAGGCACATGCGTACACACACCCAAATGCACGCGCACAGCGTGCTCTCGAATGCACAGGTTCTGTGCACAGTCCTGGAAATGCTCTTAGAGAACTTTTGCACACTGCGGTGTCTGCTGTCCATGGTGATGATGGTGATGATGGTGACAGTGATAACAGAGGTGATGGTGGTGATGGGGACTGTCTTAGTCGCTTCCCTCATCGATGGGACAAAATACTTGGAACTTAAAAAAGGAGAAGTTTGTTTTGTTTACGGTTCATTCCCTGGATGGCCAGCTCCAAGGAAGAAACAGCATGGCAGATGGACATGGCAGAGGAGATATTGCTCCTATCCTGGTGACCAGGAAGTAGAGAGGAAGAGGAGGAACAGAAAAGGGAGACAGAGCCTTCCAGGTCACTCCACCCCACCTTCTAACAGCAAGTCAGCTATAGCACTCCTGTAAGTGATCACCTGTCAAGAGCCCCTCCTCTGAACACATGAAACTCTGGGGGGACACTCTAGCTCTAAACCATAACAGTGAGTGATGATGAGGGTGACAGTGGTGTGATGGTGATCATGTGAGTGTGATTGAGGATGATAGTGATGGTGGTGGTGAGGATGTTGGTGGTGAGGATGATTGTGATGCTGGTGGTGATGGTGGTTATGGTGATAGTGATGGTGATGCTGGTGGTGATGGTGATCATGTTAGCATGATTGTGGATGATAGTGATGGTGGTGATGATGTGAGTGTGATTGTGGATGATAGTGATGGTGTTGATAGTGATGGTGGTGATGGTGGTGGTGGTCATAATAACAGTGATGATGAACATAGCTGCTAGGAATCTCAGACTTCTGACTCAAGTCCTCAGCTTCATTTTCCTCTCAGAACTGGATAACAGAGTCCTGGCCCTCCCCGACTTGCCTTTGCCTGAACCCACCAGAGTAGCTGCAGTTCTCTTCCCCTCCCATGAGCCCTCTGCCTCTGCGTCCCACCCTGGAAGTGCTGGCTCTTTTGTCTACACCACTCCCCCATCACCTCCAGTTCCACAGGTTTAGCTCCATCTACAGACAACGACCTCCTGAAACCCACATCTGTAGCCTGACAGCCCGGAGCTCTGGACTCTGGGGAGGCAGCTGGCTGGAGTCTGGATGGAGATGTCAACCATAGCCCACGGCAGAGCTCGGTGTCAGGGCAACATCTCAAGGCCGGGGGCCAGAGCTTGCAGGATAAGGAGGGATGAAGAAGGCAAGAGCAGGGGAGGCACTTGCCACGTGCAGACTGCCTGGGCACACCAGCCTGTCCCCGGGAGCAGCCGCCCGGCAGCCCCTCCTGGAGCCAGTGCTGGTGAGCAGTCTGCTGCAGAACCCTGTCTCCCAGGTGCAGTTTCCCAGATGCAGTGACTCTCATGGCCTCCCCAGGGGTCTCAGCAGATGCCCCGCACCCAGAGATGCTGCTGGAAGAGTGCAGGGCTGGCAGAAGCTGCCCTCGAGGGTGAGCCTCACACCCCTCCCAGAGCTGGTGGTGGCAGGATCTGCACCTCCATGCTGCGCAGAGGCTGGAGGGTGGTGAGTTTGGGTCACCACCAAGGAAGCGCCTCATGGGGCCACCATGTGAGCCAAGGTGCAGAAGGTCAGTGCCTGCCTGCCCTGGGCCCGACCCTCCATAGGGCTATAACTCAGAATTGGCTCCTGAAGGTCTCCTCTCCAACCCGAGTCCCTGGCACGTCTGCAGGGACTTGACACCTCAGCTGGCATCTGCTGCAGGCAGACCTCACCATTCACCTGACACAAAGCAAGACTCCACCCAGACCAGCAGGGCCTCATGCTCTGCTCTGTGAGGCGAGGAAAGGGGCTGTGCAGGGAGCAGGATGGGTTGGGCCTGCTCTCCAACTCCTGCTGTCTGACACCATTGCCCCGGCCAGTGTAGACCCATGTCCTGTTGTCATGAATCACGTGTGATGCAGCAGCCTCTCTGCCTGCCGTTCTAGCAGATCACTCACCTGTGTGAGCCTGAGCCTTACAGACCCTCAGCCAGAGGCAGGACAGCAACGCTGATGAAGGAAGACCACACCACGGAGTACAGAAGAGCCCTTGCCATCCCAGGTCCAGCAGCATCGCACAGGAGGCCATGCAGAGGCCCAAACTCCACCTGGCCAAAACCCACCGAGTGTTCATAAAACTGAGACTTAGGATGTGTGCCTTCTCCTACATCGGTCATGCCTCAGCCACAAGGCTGGGGACAAACCGTGCACCTCAGGGTGGCCCAGGTGGGAGGGTGTGTGATGCCAAGGGCCCCTGTGGACAGGGGACCCCGCACCTCGTGAGGCAGATGGGGGCTGCAGCCCCTTTGGAGAACTGCCTGGCAGTGTCTCCTCCAGCAGAACGTCTGCACCCCTGGAGGCTCCCCTCCTCGGTGTGTGTTCCCTGGGAAATCCACGCTGTGCTCTCCACCAATGCCCCCGAGCGGTAGACACCTGAGTTGTGTCGTGTTCATAAAGTCGTGCTCCAGCTTTGACAATGAGCCATCTACACCTGTACAACACCCCGGACGTCGCCCCATGGAAGGCTCTGTCTCCCGCACCTGCAATCTTCTGCAAGGTCGCCAGTCCCTTGGGGTCACCGAGACAGGAGGTGAGGAATAGGGCAGGCGCGGGGAGCCCCTGTGCTCAGCCCTGACGCCGACTCCAGCCACCTTCTCCCTCGCTGCATCTCTTGTGATTGTTTCGTGGATATGCCGCCCACGCTCAGTCCATCCGGAGCCCTGACAGGGGTGGGGACCCTGGCCGGCACTGAAAACCTGGCAGTGAAGGCACCAAGGGCCATGAAGGTGCTCGCATTGCCTAAGCCACCCCCAGCAAGGCCCTTCCACAGTGCGCTCTTGGTTCCAGTTTGTCTTCCCTGTCAGTTAGCGGAGCTGTAAAGTCTAGAAATCCTGAGCTCAGCGGAAGACCGTCACACTGGGAAAGGCAAGGCCACACCAGCAAGCTGGCGAATTCGAAAGCACGGTGGCCATGGCCACAGGGAATCACTGGAAAACACCTTCTGAGGCTTGTGGGTGGGATTTGCTTGGCTGGCTTGGGAGACAGCCCTGGGTGGGGTCTGGCTCTGTGCTCCATTCCGGTATGGAACAAGCTCTTCTCTCTGACCCCGGAGAGGAAGCACTGGGCTCTGAGCTCCATTCTGGTATGGAACAAGCTCTTCTCTCTGACCCCAGGGAGGAAGCGCCGGGCTTGTGAGGCCTCCAAGGCCTAAGATCTGTATTCCCAATATTAAAATCTGTCCTTCTGTCCGGTAGGTGCCGCAGGCCCCATGCGGTCAGGGCACGAGAGGCCTGAGTGACTCGCACACGTGAGGACTTGTGCCTGCCTCCACATGGCTGCAGCGAGCGTGTGGCTCTGGTGTGTACACAGGCATGGCTGGAAGGCTCGTATGTGTCCAGATGGAGCGTGTGCACTGCCCACCACCACATGCCCCGAGGTTCTGCAGAACCACCCACCGGTCAGCTCAGCCTTGGGGGGGGCCTTTCACACCCCAAATCGTCACCAGAGCTGCTTCCCACCAAGCCAGTCTCCAGATTTCTGAGCCACCCCCGCCCTCCACGGCAGGAGCCGTTCCTGGCGTGTGCTTTGCCTCTGTGGTGCATTCAAGCTGTGGATGGTGCTGCAGAAAATGAAGAGGAAGAGAATGCTGCTTTCTCTGCAAAATGAGCTTTGGCAACTTTGCAAAGGCGACTGGAATCATACTCCCAAGTCCAGGAGCTCACAGCTCGCAGAAACCCTGGCCTACTGTGTGCGGCCTCAGGAGACACATGTGACTGAACCCTGGCCTGCCTCGGCAGCTTCCCACCCACAGCCAGGGCCAGGTGCCACTCCAGCAGCACGGAGGACTGTCCCCACAGGATGGCAGAGCCACGGCCTGGCCCTCCCCAGGCCCAGGAGCCCTCGACATGCATGTCCACGGCCCCGCAGCACGAGTCTGCTCCAGGACGGATGCTGCCATGCAATCAGCTGAATTAATATGTTACCCTAAACAAGCTAATTACATTATTACTGTCTCAGCCTGCAATCACAGGATTTTTATGTTTTGATGCTAAATCTGGTAAAACTTTAAATTAGGGTAATTAAATAATTAGCTATAAGATATAACAAGCTAACAAACAACTTCCCTCTTCCTTGACATCCCCATGTGGCACTGCCTGTGTGGAAATCCCACAGAGGGCAGCATGTCCGCCACAAGCAGCCGGTCCACATGACGGTCCCCACCTGGCTGCTGCCTCCCTCTGAATCACTGACGTCTCCCAAGCCACCATCAGCCTGGGCTCTGCCTTGCCATCCGGGCCCGAACTGGACAAGAACTGAATCAAACTCAATAGTTAGATTCAATGTTGACCTTATGGGGAAATCTGATTCAGTTGTCATCCAATGTGATTTGCAACCAGAATCATGGAAGTTTGTGAACAGGTATCACTGTATTTAACAATTAATATGGGAATTAAAATGGTGCACTAGAAGATATTTGCTTACCACCATGAAGGCAGGAAAGGAGGAAGACAGCAACAAAAAGTCATAAGACATAGAAAGCAAATAGCAAAACCAGGTGTGGTGGCACAAACCAGTAATCCCAGCACCCTGGGAGGCTGAGGCAGGAAGATAGCAGGTTCAAGCCAAGATGGTGAAATGCAGGGACTTAGACCCTGCCTCAAAATATAAAATTAAATTAAATTAAAAAGAAAGGGTGGGGTGGTGTAGCTCAGGGCAAAGGGCTTGGGCTCAATCCCCAATACTGCCAAAAAAAAAAAAAAAAAAAAAAAAATCAAGGTTCCTCCATAAGTTCTCTGTAAGAGTGCTCATTACATTTCAAGATGCAAATATGTAGAAATAAAAGGGTGAAAAACATGTCATCTGAGTAGTAATTACAGCACAGCTCAAATGATTACATCTATAGATGACAAAATAAACCTTAAGATGAAAAGTATCAGCAGACACAAGAGAATCATTTTACGATGATAAAAAGCCGAACAGACAGAAAAATGCACACTCGTAAATGCACGCACATATAACAGAACCTCAAAGCAGGTGAAGAAAATCCTGCAGGACTGAGGGAGAAGTAGGCTATTCCACAGTGAAGTCAGGGGCTAGGCCCGTCCCAGTGACAGGCGGGTGGGAGCCCGCAGATGCAGGGCGGGGAACCCCTGCACCAGGAGTCAGCAGCGTGCACACACCGCCAGCACCAAACCCCGCACCGGGACCCCCAAAGTCCAATTCTGGCCAAGAGGGGCAGGCGGAGGCACGTGCCCTGCAGCAGAGGGTAGGGCTGCCTGTAGGGCTGGCCTCTGACCCATTCTTTGCCTCGGGGGGGGGGGGGGATCTTTATTTTGTCTTTTTCCCTGCCAGTGACCAGATGAAAATGTACTATTTAAAAATTACATTTGCACTTTCCACCCCGGTGCCTGCAATGATTGTGCTGTGATTATTAAACACTTCATAAATAATAATGTGACATTTTCTGATTGGGTGTCTGATTATGTGGCCGTTCTTTGCAGCCTGAGACTCTGGACAGATGAGATTGCTGAAGACAGGACAATTCCACAGGGTCCCCTGGCCCCTGGGAACCAGGAGTCAGCTGGTCCCAGCTGAGGCCTCGAGGACTTAGCTCTTCCCCATCCAGGGGTGGAGGGCAAGGCAGGGCCCACCCCACTCCTGGGGGCGGCAGCCTCCCCAGACTACCCTGCACTTCCCAGCACTGTCCTCCCTGGGCTAGGGGAGAGGGCTGCAAGGAGGACAGCACTGCCCTCCACAGGGCTGGTGCAGGGGGCAGGGTGATCCCCTGCATGAGGCTTCCACACCTGCCAAGGCCTGGAGTTCCCAGCCCAGGAGTGCCCGGCCTGCCCCCACCTGCTCCCCAGGTTTGAGGCCACTGCCCCTTGCTGTGACCCAGGTCCAGGCCCTTTTCTTTCGTGAGAGGCCAAGGTCCACACCCCCTTGGGGCTGCTTCTCCTCTGATAGGGAGGAGAGGGGGCGTAAACCCGCAGCCACAGCTGAATCCTCTCTGGGGACTCACCCTGCGCTCCACGCTCACCCTCAAGAAGCTGGAGTCCCCAGCCAGGTTTTGGCAGGGAGGGAGGGGCCTGCGCTCCCGTGCTCCAGGCAGTGGTCACAGATGGTGGGCAGCAAATACGGCTTGTCTCCGAGCCGGGGACTGGATGCTGGACGTCAGAACCCAGGCTGTGGGCTGCTCCAGCAGCCCTGTTAGCCCCGTTAGCCCAGGGGTGACCTGAGATGCCCCTGCAAGCGCCTGGTTCCTCAGCTCTCCACCCCAAGCCTGCATGCCACCCATCGCCACCTCCAGAGGTCCCACTAGGGACCAGGGGGTCCCACTAGGGACCAGGTCCAGCTGAAAGGTCTCCTCCTCCGGGCAGCGGTGATACCTTGCATCTTGAGATGAAGGAACTTTTTTAAAGAAAACTGAAAGTGGTCATTTTTGTCCCTGTGATTTCCTCCTAGGAAACGTCTGTGCGGTGTGTGAAGGGGCTATGCCGGTCGTTGGTCCCCAGGGCAGTGGGCTAATAACCAGCTTTGGGCTTCAGTAGAGGGGCTGGGCGCCCTCCTGCCTGGACACCCCAGGGCTGCCTGTTCCTCACCCACAGAGAAGGCCCTGACTCCCTCGGAGAGCTCCCAGCTCTGCTCAGGAGGCTGGCAGACCCTCTCTGGGACCGTGGCAGCGCAGGCCCGGCCTCCCGCAGCTCAGGCTGGAGCCTGGGGGCTGCAGTTTCACCCCAGCGGGGTGAAGAGAGCCAGAAGCCGAGGGCAGGACTCGCCGGCCGTGGGTGGGAAGCCTGCACTTAAATTGAGGATGCCGCTATTTATTTCCTTCCCTCCCTCGCTGGTCCAGACCACGAAACATTTATTTCCCCTTTGGTCTTTGTGCTGCAGCAGCTTCAGAGTAACTACCCTGGGGCCAAGAGAGCTGCTTGTCAGTCACTAACCGCAGGCCAGGGGAGCCCAGAGGACTCAGACTGGGCCCCACAGAGCTGCCCCGGGAGCGGGCACCAGGCGGCTGCGTGGGAGCCTCGCTGCGGGCTCAGGGCCTCTGTCGCTGCCGCCCAGGGCGGCTCGGCCACGTCCTTGCCCGCGTCCAGTGTAGGTGCTCAGGGTGGAATTTAGACGAATTCCTGCGGCCCGGGTGCCAGTGCGGACTGACAGGCTCAAACGTGCCGCGCCCCGGCTCGAGCCCGCAGAGCGGCAAGCCTGGGGCCCGGTGCCCGAGGGGGCAGCCGCAGCCGTCGGAAAGCCTCACCGGCGGGCTCGACCCGCGTCTGCACACGCCTCTGCCGGCCGCCGGGTTTGCTAGAGGCTGGGGCCGCTGCTGCGGAGGCCGTCCCTGCAGCTCTGAGGGCGGAGCTTCCTACGCAGGAGGACACACTCGGCCTCCACCCTCCCCAGTCCCGATCCCTGCCCCGAGCCGCGCGAGCGGGCGCCGAGGGAGCCGAGGGAGCAGACGGCGCCCACCCCAGCCCCGCCGGCAGGCCCGGAGCCGGGGCTCCAGCCAGGCGCACCCCGGGAATCCGGAGGCCGAGCGCCGGCCTGGCCTCTCCAGCCCGCGCCGGGGCCTGCTCATCCGTGCTCAGCCGGGTGCGCCTGTCCTCGCCCGCTCCAGACGGACACAGCCGAGGCCCAGGGGGAGAGCCCGGGGGACGCTGGGGCGCGGGCCGCCTCGCCGGGAAGGGATGTGGGATGAAGGGGCTGCCGCCTGGCCCGCTTTACCGGAGGGCTTTGTGCAGAGGAGGACGAAGCAGAGGGAAGGTTGAAATCCTGCCGTTGAGCAGCTCGGGGCCTTAATTTCACCGCGCGTTGGGGTCGCGGGGGCCGGGAGCAGGTGCGCGCGCAGCCACGGGGCGGAGCCCCCCGCGCCCACGCCCGCTGCGGACAAACGGGACGGGGGGCAGGACGGAGTGGCCGGGTCACCGCCCTCGCCCTCCGCCGCAGAAGAGCGCCGGACACCGCCCCGCCGCTCCCCACCGCCCTCTGTTCTTCCTCCTCCGGGGTACAGGGCAGGGCGCCCCAACACGCGACTGGAACTGGGGACGCAAGGAGACACACCCAGCTGCTCGGAGGGGTGGAGCCCCGGGATTCCCACAGGACGGGGATTTGGTATAGAGGGTCCAGCCAGGTGGGTGTCATCGGGTCGGGGTGGCCTGGGCGCCCGCCTGTGGTGTGACATCTACAAGCAAAAGACCACGCGCGCCATGATCCTTTTTTCTGAGTGCTGTTGATGGAACCCCGTCCCCTCTCACTGAGCTGTATCCCCAGCCCATGTTTATTTTTTGAGACAGGGTTTGCTAATCCAATACATGAGTGACCCTCCTGCCTCAGCCTCTCCCTTTTTTTCTTTCTTCTAAGTACTTGAGAGGGAACCCAGGGGCTCATGGATGCTAAACATGTGCCCCAGCACTGAGCCACCCACAGCATGAATCCGTATCTATGAGACGTCCGGAACAGGAAATGCGCAAGACGGAAAGCAGAGGCGTGGCTACCAGGGCTGGGAGGAGGAACGCACTGACTCGACTGGCTGGGGCCTTTAGGGCGGAAGGGCAGGGGCTGCACCGGGTCGTGGGCTGCTGGAGGGCACCGGCTGTGCGTTTTACACGGGCGTGGGCGTAACGAAGCTGTTCAGGCAGGTGGGGAGCGGGCACCTGCACCGCCTCTAGATCCCACACCCGTGGTGTCTCCAGGCTGGCGGAGCAGCTGTTGGCTCTCAGCTGTTCGTCCAGGAGTAGTCTACAGATGCGCGGCTCAGCCGCGGCCGAGGACACAGTGCCTTTGCGCAGGACCTCTCTGCCCCACCCACGGGCCTCGCTGGCCCTGGATCTGGACAGTCCCCTGACCTGCTCAGCCTGTTCCTCTGCAGTCATGACTCCAAAATTCTTCAGCTTCGAGCAAGGGGTCCTGCACTTTTACTTTGCAAGGGCGCTACACTCTGTCCCAGGAGGGACAGAGGGTGACCTGATTAGGCTCCTGCATGAGCCCAGTGTGAAGCCCACCAGGAGCCCCCAGCCCCAGCAGGCTCCAGGGAGCAGGGCCCGGGCTGGGAGAACCCCGCTTGGTCAGACACCGCCTACCCAGGATACCCGGGGCCTGGCACTGATGCCCCTGCAGTGTCTGGGGCAGGTGAGGGCAGACGAGGGGCCATGGGAACAAGAACCCAGGCTGAGATCGGGAGAAGTGGCAGGAGAGGGGCGCGCACAGCTGGGGCAGGTCTCCAAGGTGAGCTTCGGCTCCCCCAGGCCTCGGCCAAGTATAGGGCACAGGTGGGAAAAGAAACCTGGGACGGAGCTCCAACCAGCGCCTGCCCTGTCACAACTCAGGCCTCCTAGTTATGGGGTGGGGTTGTGGCCCGCCCCCGGGCTGTGTTTGGATGGAGGATCACAGAAGACACAGTTAGTTAAGGCGAGGTCATGCCGGAATAGGGTGGGGCCCCGTCCAGTGTGACAGTGTCCTGTGGGGAGGGGAACTGAGGCGGAGGCAGAGGTCAGATTACCTTCTGGTAATCACGAGCACCAAATCTCGGCGGAGGCCAGCAGGAGCTGGAGAGGCCAGCAGCCTCGCAGTCCCCTCCGCCCCGCCCCGGCTGCAGGCCCTGCCTCTACAGCGGGTAGAGGAGGACTCCGGTGCTAGGGTGGCCACTGCGAGGTCTGTTACTGCTGCTCACTGCGGGCTGCTCTGGGGCACAGCTGAGCAGCCCACTCAGGACCTCTCCTAGTCCTATGCCCTCTGTCACCCTGCTCTGAAGTCCCTCCTGGACTCCAGAAGTCTCCTTCCAGAGGTCACACAGCTGCAAGCAGGCGCTGTGAGAGGCAGGGAGCCGGGGCGCAGTTACAGGCAGCCAGGGAGGCGCAAGTTCTCTGCAGGGAAAGCACCACTCGGGAGACCTGCAGCCCTGCCACGGGCATCTGCGGAGAGCCGGGGAGCCGTGTACCGCAGGCAGCTTAGGGCGGCTCCTCCAAGCGGGCGTATGCGCTCACTCCTGACATAGACACCTCGGCCTGTTTTCATGGGCTTCCTTCCAGTGAGCTTCAAAGTGCTGAGCGCTCAAAGCAGGCAGAGCCAGCGGGGGTGTGCACAGCGGCTTCCTCCCAACCCGAGAGTGCAGGCCTGGCTGTCCTCGTGGCTGCCGGCCTTGACCCACCAGTCAGCCGACTGGTCAGGAGCTCAGGCCACCCCTGGGCCCCTGCGCTTCTCAAACATTGGGACTGGCTGCTCGAGGATTGCTGTTGTTTTCATGTGAAAAATAAAGATCCCTCCAAGGTCACGTCCTGTTATTTTATTCCAGTTCTCCGTGGAAAGGAGACACCATTGACAGGCGCCCCCTGTCGCCTCCCCCATGGCCAACCCTGCCTGAAACACGGAGGCCAGCACAGCCTGGGCACTGCAGGAGCAGAGAACCTGCTCAGAATGAGCCTGCGTCCTGGGACCCAGGGGATACAGCCGCAGGACACACCAGGCTCCCCGCCCCCCCCCCTGCAACGCCCTGCAGGGAGTCCTCCGGCCCTGGCTCAGCTCCCCTCCAAAAGGCCATGTAGATCCCGGGGACAGATGCCCCCAGCCTGTCCTCCTCCTTAGAAGCCCCTGCCGACAGCACGGCCCCTGAGGCACAAAGTAGTGGGGTTCCCCCAGGGGCAGAGCGGGTGGGGTGTCGGAGGCCCGCTGTCCTCAGTGCAGGGTCAGGGCTCTCCCCAGCGCCCTGCAGTGCACAGCCGCGGAGATCTGAAGCATGGCAACCGAAGCCGTCCCGCAGGCGGCAGTGTGCAGTGTCTCCAGGTGAAGGAGGCGGGACCCCGGGGGGCGTGACCTCTCAGTCACGGTCACAGCCTGGGACTCATAGAGGCCCGGAGCCGCGCCTTCCGGTGAGACCTCGCCAGGAGCGAAGAGCTCAGTGCCCCGCGGAGTCTGGTTTTGATGAGTCCCTGGAGCTGCCGCACATGGCAAACCTCACTGGTCGTTTCATGACATCTCTTCTGTGCAGAGCGTGGAGCCACAGGGCAAGAGGGTTCGCTTCCCACACGATGTCCAGAGGCACCCGGGCCTCCCCGCCCCCTCCCACATGTGTGCACATATGTGCGTGTGTGTGTGGCATGCACATATGTGCGCGTGTGTGGTACTCCATAGGTGCACACGTGTGTGTGCACGCATGTGTGTGTGCACACTATTCAGTGCTGCTGGACTGCTCTTTCTCAGCCTCACAACCTTTAGAGTTTCACCTCATGGGGAAAATGTGAAGTAATTCTGACCTCTCACCTTTTAAAAATCCCTCTTCAGCCCTCTTTACTTACAAAAGCTTCGTTTCCATTTTTTCCTTTGATTCTCTTTTTTTCCCTTTTCCCTAGGAGGGGAAGGGAATGGGAGAAAAGAAGAAGCAAGATATATCATGCACGTACCAACCCTATGATGAGTGTGGTCTTTATGTATATCAGAAGTGTACCGATAAAATTAACAACAAAAAACCCAAATCTATAACTCTTTTTTTTTGTTTTGGTTTTTTGAGACAGGGTCTTGCTATGGATCCCAGGCTGGCCTCCAACTCACGGCAACCCTCTGCCTCAGCCTCCTGAGTGCTAGGATTACAGGCAGGCGCCACCACGCCTGGCTTAGAATACTTTCAAGAGAAAAAAATAGTAAAAAATAAAAACCATCGCACTGCCTCCTGTCAAACCTCCGCTTCTGCGAGGGCCAGCACTGCCCGGCTGTAGCCACCAGGTGGCGCCGCGCGGCTGACACGGCCCTGGCCGCGGATCCAGGGGCGGCTGAGGCGGAGGCCGGCCGGGCCAGGGTTCCGCAGCCCGTGGGCGTCGCGGGCAGGGTTGGGGGCCCTGTGCGCACGCCTGTCGTTAAGAGCTGTGCACACGTGCGCCCACACACACTCAGCCGCAGCTGCCCGCTCCCCCCTGACACCCGAGCGTGCGACCGTGCGCGCGTGCGATGGTGGGTGGCGCCGCAGCGTCCGCGGCTCGGCCCCACGCTCCCCTAGGGTGGCCTGGCGGGGACGGCTTCCTGGAGGAGGCTGCAGGCGGCCCGGCCCTTCCAAGCTCCTGCGCCGGCCGGCGGGGAGCAAGGTCTGCACTGAGGACCCCCGACCCCGAGGGCTCTGTGCGCCGCTCCGGCCTCTTGAGGGCTGGGACTCCCCGTTTCCAGGCCACCCTGGGGGAGGGCGCGGCCAAGCCGCGGACGCCGCTCTGCCACCCACCGTCGCACGCGCGCACGCGGCCCGGGGTCAGG